CTCCCGCTGCTGCGGGGGAAAGGTGCTCCAGTCGCAAGCGCAGCCCGACGTACTCGCCCGCCGCGGCGCTGGATCTGCGCGCAATCACGATTATGAGCAACGCAGCACTGATGCAGTTGCACGAACACCACAGGAAACATGCACATGCACACATGCGTGTGTACCTGGGCTTGTCAAAGCGCTGAATGCTGACCACGGTGAAGGTAGCGAGGGTGGTCGGCTTTGGCAAGATGTGCCCGCGACGGCTGTGGCGACGGGCAGTGGCGATGGGCGCCACCACGACGGCCTCCAGGACTTGGCCCTCGCGCACCATTCCAGACTGCACCAGCGCCTCCACCACCTCCTCCTGCTTCTGCGTGTCCGTGGCGCCGGTGCACCTCTTGTTCGCTCGTCGCAGGACCGATATGCGCGCGGGACCGAACACCGGTCGCTTGGCCGCCGCCACCTCGCCGGGCGCTGACTCCGTGACGGCGCTCGCCGACTGCTCCATGACCTCGAACAGCATGGGACCCTTGTACCAGGACAACGAAGACGGCGCGGTCACCACATTCTCACCGGTCCACGCCGAGATGGGCACCACCACCAAGTCTGCGCGTGTGTGTGCGTGTGCGGTGTGAGCATGAGCCAAGGCAAGGGCGGCTGAGAGAGCACTGTGATGAAGTGAATTGGCCACACACGCCACTTCGGCGTACCTTCTGGCTTGAATCCCACGCGGCTCGCGATGCGCAACACCTCGTCCTTGATCTCCTGTCAGAGCGCGCGGACGAGCGGTGAGTTGTGCAAGCGAGACATGAGAGAAGCGGAAGGGTTGAGGGAGGTACGGTGAAGCGGTGCTCGCTGTAATTGACGCCGCTGGAGTCCATCTTGTTGACCACCACGATCACCTTGGACATGCCGAGGCTCTTTGCAAGCATCAGGTGCTGAATGGTGCCTGGTTTGTCGTATGTCGTGTGTGTCGCGTTGCGTGTCGCGTGAGACTCATCACCACGGCCCAGAGTGTGTGCACAGAGCCCCCTCCCAACCACTCGGTATATAAGGAGTCGCGAGGGAGTTGTGCTTAATACCGCCCAAGACTCCCCAGTCAGATTCGTTGATGCCCGCTTCGAATTCGCCAACGCCAGCGGCCACCACGAGCATCGCCACATCAGCCATTGACGCTGCCTGTTCACGGCGTCGGTGCATTCCATGTGTCGGTGGTGAGCTGGCCAGCGTGGCCCCTCCCCAACATTCTCACGTGGGGACACGGCGCACGTACGATGAACGCGCTCCTGTTAAAATCGCGGTGGCCCGGCACGTCCACGACTTCGATCTCACGGCCACTGGTCAGCCTGCACTGCTTTGCCTTCCATGTGATCGCTGCACCACGCAGCACACAGCACACAACGCAAATTATGCAACACACCACACCACACGACACACACCACAGCAGTGCCCGCCAACGCGTCAATGTGAGCTGCGAGGTGGTGGGTAGTGTAAAGGCACGTACTGATGCCACGCTCTCGCTCGACTAGAGTGGTGTCGCAGCACCACGCGTACTTGAACGACGACTTGCCTATCATCATGGCGGCTTCTCCATGCCGGTCGACTTCCTTCTGGGTGATCTGCCCTAAACCCAGCAGCATGCGCCCTGCGATCGCGCGCGCAAATCGCGCGTCATCTCCCAGTTTGACGCCACATGCTGGCTGGGGGCGTCGTACCCACGAGGGTCGACTTGCCGCAGTCAACGTGGCCCAGAACACAGAACCGGGGCCGCTTCTGCACGCGCCAGCCGCGACACAAATAGCGATTCGGGTCAGAGCCGTTAGGCCGCGAGAACGGCCAGGCTGGCTTTGGTTTGTGTGTACCGAGCGCTGAAGCCAGCGGTGGGCGTAGAAGGTCTTGCGCCAGCCATCGGGCTCGCCTTCGTACAGGTTGCACTTGTCAGTAGGGTCTGCTGAGGAAGCGGAGGCGGGGAAGTCGCGGAGTACGAGGCGGCGCCAGAGCTGCGGCTCGGTGGCCAACGCGTGGAAGGCGTGCGAAACGAGACTGACACGGTTCGCAATGCTTTCGGCGTCCACAAACGAAAGCACATGCACCCACGCCTGCCGCACCCCACAAAAAAAATTTAATAGCGTTGGCAAACGACCCATAAAGGAAGGGCAAACCTCAGGCGGCAGGTAAGCTTCAACTGAGCTACGGGCAGACTCCATCGCCTTCTTCGTTTTTTCAGTTTTGAAGAAAAAACAAATTTGGCGCAAAGCCAATAAAATAAATGGCAGTTCCGTGAAGAAAGGCAACGCCAAAGGCGAGGAGGCAAAGGTCGCCAACAAGCCCATAGAGGAGAGGCGGACAAGCAGCAGAAGCAGCAAAAGAAAAGGATACGGCACGGTGGATTCCCGGGTGGTCGCCCACCCCAGTACTAACACCGCCTGGCGCAGCTTAACTTCGCTGTTCGGATGGGAAGCGGTGCTTTCTGCGCAGTATGGCCGTATCCATCAACCACCACACTCACCGCCCATCCCCTTGCCAGTCAGTACCCGATGACCGAAAAGAACACGAAGCTGTGCCAAGGGGCCAACGCGCAGTAGGCCTTGCTGTTGATGTCCTTTTGGCGCGAAAATTCTGCTGAGCTGGCAATATCTAGGCTGGTCATGTGTGGAGCTGGCCCAGCACTGCTTGGGGAGTGCAAGATATTCCCAGGTTCCTTCATGGGAAAGGCTCCCCGCTTGAACAGCTGTGCAGTGGTCATAAAGGGACTGGAAGTGGGGGGCATTCATCATTAACCATACAACATCAGCCACACCACCAACAAAACTTCATTGTCACTCTCTAACAATCACATCAACATGGCCACAAAGAACAAACTGGATGATGCCAAGCTTGCCATGGAGGCTTGTGGGTGGTGTCAAGGAGAAGGTTGGCCACCTCTTCAACAAGCCCAGTCTGGTCATTGAGGGCTGTGAGCAGCAGCTGAAGGGTGAGGCTGAGCTCAAGCTCCACTGTGGCCTGGCACTGCTAACCCCAGCTGAGGCCATTGAGCTGCACCTGTGCTGAGAGACCCTCTTCTCTGACATTGAGCACTCTGGTGGCTTTGTGTGCATGTCTGCCACCAGCCACCTGTGACACATTGACACTATGCACCACAAGCAGCAACTGGCATTGCATGGCCTGTTCACCCAGAGGGGCAAGAAGTGGCAGCAGTTCCACCTCAAGGCCCATTTCTTGATTGGTACTTTTTCACCCTCCACATGCACATTTTTGTGGCTCACTGTGGTAATTTGATAGGAGTCAAGAGGCACACAAGGAGTCCAGAGACCTTCACTGGCCACATGAAGAGCTTCATTCCACACATCACCAATCAGTCCCACGCACACTGCCTTCATCCCACATCAAAGGTGACAAAATGTGCTGACCCTGTTGCTGACAAGGATGCACTAGATGCACTTGCCACCCTGATCAACCACTACCTGGCAGAGTGTGAGTGGTACCTTCATGGCTTCTGCACAATCCTGCTGGCATCCCTGAATGGTTCAGCCTGCAAGAGAGTGTGAAAAGAGTGGCAATGGACTGTGATGTATGGCTGTCTCTTTGATGCAGGCATCCTTGAGAGAAATGAAGGTACTCCCACCTTGGCACTATTTCTGGAGGGAAGGTGGTTGTGTGCTTACCCTCATCAGGTGGCAAGGTCCTTCTAGATGTGTTTACTCACTTAGGGCTTGAGCTTGCACCCCAAGAAAAGTACAAGTTGACCACTATCCAGAACACAGGTTTTCTTCTTTTTGTTGAGTCTGTGTGTGTCATGTTGTGTTGTGTCATGGCTCACCATCCTCCTCCACTCATCAACACTTCTGCCCAACAGAAGGGTGTACACATGCCTTCAAGTCACCAGGGTGGCTGCAACACCACATCCACCAGGAGCATCCTACACAAGCCACTGCAAAAAGCTGGTGACAACCTGTTTTAAATTTTGCACTACCAGCCCCACCAGTCCTCAGCCAAGCCAAGGATACTGGTCCCTTAACCACATTGAGACTGAGGACAAGACCCAGCCAGAGCTGTTGTTTGCCCAGGCCAATCTCAAGAAGTCAATCAGCACCAAAGGCCTCAACCAGGCACAGCTGCTCAATGAGGTGAGGCAGGACAAGTCCAAGGCAGCCATCAGCATCAACATGAGCCTCAAGGGATGGAACAAGGAGGGCTTCCTGGCCAAAGTGTGCCAGGGCACCCAAGTGCCACATCTAATACACCACAAAGCAAAAAGCCAACTCCCTATCAATCCCCTTTCCCCCAAGCATCAATATTTGATGGTTCTCTTTTAACTCCGATGCACTACCTCTAATACAACAACTCCCATACCTGCAGTTTGGCCAAACGACACTTTGATAGTGGACAATATCTTGGTATGCTCTTTTATGATACGATACCCACTTATTCTTCGGATTATTTCTTCGAACAGAGAAACAGAAAGAACTCGAAATGCGCCAGTATTTGTACTGCGTACTTTTCATTTTTACAATACCTCAAACACCACAACACAAACATGGAAGCAGAGCCAAAGGGGAGACACTATGGGATGAGGATGGACCTCCTGCTGGCGGGGGATGCGGGCGACATAGGGCTGGTGCGAGAGCTGATGAAGGCCCCCAGGGCCGACGTCAACAAGGCCTTCTCGCACGCCAAGTTCAACAAGCGCAGCACGGCGCTGCACTACGCGAGCAGGTCGGGCCATCTCGCCCTGGTCAAGGTGCTTGTGGACGAGTTCGGCGCGAACATCGACGCCCGCGAGAAGGAAGACTGGACCCCCGTCTACTACGCCGCCAACAACGGGTTTGTCCCCTGCCCTCCTGGAAACTAACTCGCCACTAACCCCCCTTCTTGTTTCTTCTTCTTCTTCACTTTCTTGACGTCCA